CTAGCCTTGAGCTGAAGAGCTGAGAGACAGCGCGCAGGCCCAGAGTTCAGGCCCCACGACCGGACCCAAAAAAAAAAAGATTGGTGCTATGCCAGGTGCCAGTGGCTCACGCCTGTAACCCTAGCTACTCAGGAGGCTGAGATCCGAGGATCACAATTCAAAGCCAGTCTGAGCAGGAATGACTGTGAGACTCTTATCTCCAATAAACTACTCAGAAAAAGTTGGAAGTGGCACTGTGGTTCAGGTGGGAGTGCAAGCCTTGAGCAAAAGAAGCTCAGGGACAGTGCCCGGGCTCTGAGTTCAAGCTCTAGGACTGATGGGGGCTGAAGGGAAAGGGTGAGATTGGTGCTGGCAATTAAAACTAGAAATGCTTGGGCTGGGTAATAAGGACACTCAACTGTAATTGGAAGTGTTAAATGACATGAACCATCTATCAGAACGTTCAATGGTCACGCCATTTCCACACAAGTTCTCTTGCAACTAAGATGAAAACACAGCCAGCACCTGTAATCCTAACTAACTCTTCAGGTAGCTGAGATTTGAGGATGGCAGTTCAAAGCCATCCTGGGCTGGAAAGTTCATGAGACTCTCATCTCCAATTAAGCACCAAAAAGAAGTCAGAAGTGGAGCTGTGGCTCAAGTAGTAGGTGCTAGCCATGAGCAAAAAAGTAAGTAAATATTTAATAATAATAAAAGAAAGCTATGGGTGCCCAATTGCTGAGTTAAAGCTACAGGTCTGACACAAAAACAAACAAAAAACCCACAAAATTTAATGACCCAGCACAGAGGCAAAGGAAGCAGGATCAGGATTCAAGACTAGCTGGGTCTACAGAGGACCTTGTCTCAAACACACAAAACAGGGCTGGGAAGGTGGCTCAGTGGTAGAGTGCTTGCCTTGCATGCATGAGGCCCTGGGTTCGATTCCCCAGCATCACATAAGCAAAAAGAAAAAAAAAAGCCAGAAGTGGTGCTGTGGCTCAAGAGGTAGAGCACTAGCCTTGAGCTGAAGATCTGAGGGACAGTGCCCAGGCCCAGAGTTCAGGCCCCACGACCGGACCACCCCCCACAAAAAAATTAAAAAAAAACACAAAACAAAAATTTCATTATGATATTCTTTTCATTCTTCTCTTTTTTCTTTGGTCGGTCATTGGCTAGTGCAAGGGAGAATATGAATGGAGAAGCTATGAGGGACAAATACAGTTACAATCCTCCAAGTATGTATGGGAAAAGAGAAGTAGGAAATGCGATATGACTGGTGGAGGAAGGGAGGACATGATGGAAGGAGACTCTTATCAAGATATACTCAACATAAATGGACAAGTTAAACTAATTCCCTTTTACAATTATTTGCAGATTTTTTTAAATTCTTAAAATAGATCAAGGTAGGGGCTTGGGGTAAGGATCAGTGTGGTACAGCACTTGAATGGGGCCCTGGGTTCAATCTCTAGCACTGTATAATACACAAATAGGCCAAGGACTTGGATGGGCATTTCTCCAAAGAAAATACATGAATGGCCAATAAATAAACACATCAAAAGATGTTCAACATTATTAGTCATCAGGGGAATGCAAATCAAAACCACAAAAGGCAGACAAGTGTAGGGATGTCAAGAAACTAAAATGGTCATATACTGTGACTTCATACACTTGAAAAACACTTCTACAAAATCTTAAAAGAAACCACTACATGACCAGGAGCCCATCTTTCCTAGCCACTCAGGAGGCTGAAATATGAGTATAGCAATTTGAAGCTAATCCAGGTAGAAAAGTCCATGAGACTCTCCTCACTAATTAACACACACACACACAAAAACTAGAAGTAGCCAGACACCAGTGGCTCATGCCTGTAATCCTAGCTATTCAGGAGGCTGAGATCTGAGGATCACGGTTCAAAGCCAGCCCCAGCCCAGGCAGAAAAGTCTGTGAGACTCTTATCTCCAATAAACCACTAAAAAAAATACCAGAAGTGGCGCTATGGCTCAAGCGGTAGAGCACTCGCCTTGAGCTGAAGAGCTCAGGGATAGCGCCCAAGCCGAGAGTTCAAGCCCCATGACCAACAACAACAACAAAAAAAAAAAACTAGAAGTAGGTGTGGCTCAAATGGTAGAGCACCAACCTTGAGCCAAAAAGCTCAGGGACAGTGCCCAGGTTCTGAGCTCAAGCCCTAGGACCACAACACGAGCCAATAAGTTCACTCCTTGATATACGCTAGAGAAAACAAAATGTCCATAGAAAAATCCATACACAAATTTTCATAACAGCACTGTTCATAAAAGTCAAAAAGAACCAGTCAGCACCAGTTATCTTCAATTAACTACCAAAAAAGCTGGAAATGGCACTGTGGCTCAAGTGATAAACCTCTGAGTTCAAGCCCTAAGACCCGCACCAAAAAAGGGGGAAAAAAAGACTTAAATGTCCATCTACTAATAAATGGATATATAAAATGTGATGCATACATATGGCATAGCACTTGCTATTTGGCAATAACCAAGGACACTCAAGCTGGAATGATCAATGGTGGCTTGCACCTGTAATCCTAGCTATTCACGAGGCTGAGATATGGAGGATGGCCATTCCAAGCCAATAAATAACAGACTCCTGGCCTGGAGGTGCAATATAGGTTTACAGTGTAGGCTTGGGAGCAAGACTTTTGTGTCTGAATACTAACTCTATCACTTAACAGCTATGTGATCTTGGACAAGGTACTTAAGGCTGTTTTATCTCTAAAATGAGAGTAAAGAAGCTCAAGTAGATCACATATGTAATCCTAGCTACACAGGAAGACAAGATGAAGATCATGGTTCAAAGCTAGCCCAAGCAGACAAGTCCTTGAGACCCTTATCTCTACTTCCAGAAGTAGAGCTGTGGCTCAAGTAGTAGGGCACCAGAACAGTTCAAGCCCAATAGGGGACAAATGGCTACAGAGGGATGGATAGACAGACAGAGACAGAAACACACACAGAGAGTAGTTAAAGGGAAAGTGAAAGGGATGAGGTTGATTGGGATACATTGTATACACAGGTAGAAATGTCACAAACTTCTCTTGTACAGGTAATGTAAGAAATTAAAATTTAAAAACAATAATATAGAGATAAATACAACATAGATGAGCCTTGAAAACAATGCCAAGTGAAAGCTAGACACGAAAAGCCATCCTACCAAAAGCCACCCATTTAGATGAAATGTCCAGAGTAGGTTGAAAATTGTCTCAGTGGTTGGTTGGGAGTGTGGGCAGAACAGAACTGAGAAGCAAAGAAGAATTCAATGGTGACCTAATAGGTATACAATTTCATTTAAGCTGAGAAAGGAAGACTGAAAGAAGGAAAGAAATAGGGGAAGGAGAGGAGAGAGGGAGAGAGGGAGGGAGGGAGAGAAGGAGGGAGGAAGGAAGGAAGGAAGGAAGGAAGGGGGACAGAGAGAAGAAAGACATTAAGAGAAAGAAAGAAAGAAAGAAAGAAAGAAAGAAAGAAAGAAAGAGAAAGAAAGAAAAAGGAAGGAAGGAAGGGGGCAGGGAGAGAGTTAAGAAAAAGAAAGCAAGAAAGAGAAAAAGAAAGAGGAAGGAAGGGAGGAAGGAAGGGAGGAAGGAAGGAAAGGAGGGAGGGAGGGAGGGAGGGAGGGAGGGAAGCAAGCCAGCAAACCAGCAAGTCGGGCGCTGGAGATTCACGCCTATAATCCTAGCTACTCAGGAGGCTGAGATCTGAGGATGTGGTTCAAAGCCAGCTCTGGCAGGAAAGCCGGTGAGATTCTAATCTCCAATAAACCACTAGAAAACCGGAAGTGGTGCTGTGGCTCAAGCGGTAGAGCTTTCCCCTTGAGCTGAAGAGCTGAGGGACAGCGCCCAAGCCCAGAGTTCAAGCCCCACGACCGACCAAAAAAAAAAAAAAAAGAAGGAAGGAAGGTAGATCGGTTGGTTGGTTTCAACATCAGATGATGGTAATACAAATAAAATGTCAATAAAGCTGTTTAACTACTCAAGAGGCTGAGATATGAGAATCGAGATTCAAAACCAGCCTAGGCAGAAAAAAGTCTGTTTCCAATTAACCAGAAAAATGCCAGACTGAAGGTGTGGCTCACGTGGTAAAGCGTTAGCAATTAACGGGGAGGGGGGGGAACCCAGCTAAAGCCTGGGCCCTTGAGTTCAAGTCCCAGTACCGGCAAAAGAGAGAGAAAAAAAAGGAAGTTGCAGAACCAAAGACCCTAACTTCCATTCCTTCTGTATGTCCCGGAGGAATGTAAGAACTCCACAAAGCATATACTGAATATCTGCCGAGAGAAGGCTACTGAGCATGCCCCGTTTAGCCAAGTCAATGCAACATTCCAGAACGAAAACTATTTCCCGCGTTACAAGGCGGAAAGGGGAAGAAGGCAATTACGGAGTCAATCTAAAAGATGGAGTTAAGAAAAGCTAAGGTTCAAAAGCTAAGCAGAAGATAATCGAACTTGCTCACAAAACGTTGGATTGGGGCAACCTCTACCTCTCTCCCTCACCCCCAAAAATGCTAAAGAAATGATAGATCCGAGAGTGAGTTAAGGTCAATTAGGGAAGAAGGCACCGGTGACGCAGGCTAATCAAAGGTTTTTGTTGGGGAGGGGGGTCCTCCTAAAATTGCTCTCTCCGTGCACTAAATTGATCAGACCTTCGACTCAACGCTAATAGAAGATCACGTCCAGCAAGTTCCTTTTTACAACAGTCTCCAGCGTTTGCTAAGCTAAGCTAAAGCTCTCGGCCCCTACCTTCAAATCATGTCCACCGCCATCTTCTGGATGAGAACCCAGCGCCTTTCCTAAAGGGTTTCCAGAGCATCACCTCCGCGCAGAGTCCCGAAGGCTGCATCCTCCCCACGTCGCCCCGACCCGGAGGAGAGTACCTCCACCCAGACCCTCTCGGCACCCCTCAAATGCATGCAATGGGTCGCCGCGTTCCCTTTCCTACCCAGCCCCGCCGCGGTTTTCCAAGGTCCAGAGCGGCGGGCCGCGCGGCCCCGGTGCACCGGCCTCACCTGCACACGCCTCGGATGCAGGGCTCCAGCCAGATGCGGTAGGCTGTCTCGATGTGCTCCTGCGACACCTCCTCGGGCCGCACCGTCTCCGCCCAGCGCCAGGCCGCCTTCTCCAGCTGCAACCGCGGAGCCATGGCCTTGGCCCAAGCAGCGCCCCCCGAG